AATGAGAAGACCCTAGTGGAAGAGGTGGTATCATTGTCACTACTACTGATCAAAAGTAAGGGCTTCAGAATAGAAAAGCAGACTTGAGAAATGCATAGCTGGTTGATAAAATAGTGACTAAGGATTGATTTCTGGGCCACAGATTAAAATAAAGGAATGACAGGCTTCTAGCCAGAGATGGCGTACTCTTAACAAGAAGTATGTATTTGCATGAAATAATGTAAATTCAATCAAAAAGGCCTTCAACTGAAAAAGAAGGGGGAGGGAGAAAATTGACTTCATATATACAGCAAGCTAGACACTTTAGACAGTAGCTATCCCATAGGAAAGATAATAGCAATATAAACATCCAGAAGTTTACAGGAGACAAAATATAAGAACAAAGCCACCAGTAAAAACGGAAGTAGGATCCCATGACCTGAAACCCTATGGGGAAAGTGAGCCCAGGAGAGAGAAGAAATTCTCAAGAATGAAATCCTTAAGGCACAAAGACAAATAATTTTTAAGAGGAGGAAAAGTGAAGTTCTCTAAAAAGACCAATGTGGATGGCAAAAGAAATTGATCAACCAACATGAATTTTCCAAAGATATTTACAGAAGATAAAGCAAAATCAGGTTAAAAGTAGAAAAATGTAAAGTATATAGTAAGCTCACATAAAAATAGTGTCAGGCTGGGGGCAGCTAGGTGGTGCAGTGGATAGAGCACCAGCCCTGAAGTCAGGAGGACCTGAGTTCAAATCCAGCCTCAGACCAAACACTTGTCACCTACTGGCTGTGTGACCCTGAGCAAGGCACTTAACCCCAATTGCCTAAAAAAAATAGCATCAGGTAAGCTGAAGCCAGGGTCTGAATAAAGGTCCTGACTCCAAATGTGGCATTATTTCCATAGAACAACACTAGCTCAAAAATAACCTCTCCCCTTTGAACTCCCAGAGCACTTTGTACCTTACTTACTGAACTTCTTTGACCCTGTTATCTGATCGCATTTTTAGTCATGTACATGTTTTCCTCAAAGGTTCTCCTTGGCTTATTTATCTTTGCATTCTGTTTACTGTCCAGCAAAGGGTCTTGCAGACATTAGGTACAGTCAGTCAGTCAGCCAACAAGCATTTAATTATTAAGAGTCTCCTGTATGTGCCAGGCAGTGTGCTAAGAACTAGGGGTTCAAGGACCACAAAAAGGCAATCCTTGCCCTTCAAAATTTCAAAATCTAATCGCGGAGACAACATGCAAACAACTCTACACAAACAGGAGAGGCTAGAGATAAGACACTGCATCAGGAAAGGCTTCCTGCAGAAGGTAGGATTTTAGCTGAGACTTGGAAGAAGCCAGGGGCCCCAGAAGGCAGAGATGAGGAGGGAGAGTGTTACAAGCATGGGGACAGCCAGTAAAAATGCATAGAACTGGGAGATGGAGTGTCTAGTTCAAGATACAGCAAGGAGGCCAGTATTATTGGACTGTAGAGTACATGGAGGGGAATAAAGTACAGGAAGTCTTAAAACAGAGTAACAATAGTAATAGTAGTAGTAGTTAATAATAATAATAATGATAATGAGTTTGCAGAGGTTTGCTAAGGTTTGCAAAGCATTTTACAAATATTATCTCATATTAACTTTACAACAACCCTGGGAAGAAGGTGCTACTATAAAATTACCCCCATTTCCAGATGAAGGTTAAGTAACTTGTCCAGGATCATACAGCTTGTAAGTTTCTGAGGATGGATTTGAACTCAGGATTTCCTGACTCGAGATCTAGTGCTCTATCCACTATACCACGTAGCTACCAGGAAGGGCCAGGTTATGAAGGGCTTTAAAAGCCAAATAGAGGACTTTATATTTGATATCAAGGCTGATAGAGAGTCACTGGAGTTTATTGAATAGGGGAGTGACAGAGTAAGATCTATGCTTTAGTGAGATCACTTTGACAGCTGAGTGGAGGATGGACCGGAGTAGAGAGAGATATAAGGTAGGGAGACCAACCAGAAGGCTACTGGGATAGTCCAAGTATGAGCTGATAAAGGTCTGCACCAGGGCGGTGGCAATGTCAGAAGAGAAAAGGAGGCATTTACAAGAAATGTTTTGAAGGTAGAATTGACAAGACTTGGCAACTGATTGAATATGGGTGGTGACAGAGAGTGAGAAGTGAAGGATGACAAAGGTTCGAAGTCCAGGTGGCTGGGAAGGTGGTGGTACCTTCTTATAGTAATAGGGAAGTTCAGTAGTGAGGAGGATTTGAAGGGAAAAACAATGAATTCTGTTTTGGACACGTTGAGTTTAAGATGTCTATGGGACAGCCAGTTTAAGATGTCCAGTAAGTAGCTGGAATTGAGAGACTAGAGATCAGGAGAGAAGTAAGAGTTAGACAAATAGATCCGTGAATCATCTGCTCAGAGATCATAATGGAATCCATGAGAATTATAAAGATCACCAAGTGAAAGAGTATAAAGGAAAAGAAAAAAGGCCCAGGGCAGAGCCTTGGGGAACACTCATGGCTGTTGACCACAATCTTGTTGAATATGTAGCAAGGGAGATCGAGGGGCAGCAGTCAGACTGGTAGAAGAACCAGGAGAAGGTGACTGAAAGTGTCAAAGGCTGCAGAGAGTATGAGGATTAAGAAAAGGCCATTAGATTGGACAATTAAAAGATCATTGCTAACTTTAGAGAGAGCAGTTTCAGTTGAATGGTGAGCTCCAGAGCCAGATTGTTAAGAAGAGAGGGAGGGGAAAGGATGAGGAGGCACTGATTAAAAATGGTCGTCTCAGAGAGTTTTCCCTCAAAAAGAGGGAAAGATATAGGATGATATCTAGAAGGGATGACAGAACAAGTCAGGGGTTTTCAAGGATAAGGAAGATGTGAGTGTGTAGGCAGAGGGAAGCATCCAGTGGACAAGGAGAGTCTAAAAATTAATGAGCAATTAGAGATGAAAGAAGGGGAAATCTGCTGGAGAAGATGGGATGGAATGTGATCACTTGTGCTTGGAGAGAGGGTTTGCCTTGGCAAGAAGGGCCCCTTCTTTATTTGAGTCAAAGGTGAAAGTGGGGGAGGCCATCTGAGTGATGTGAGATGAGGTGGATGTGATAAAAGAGAGCTCTTGCCAAATAGCCTCAATTTTTTCAGTGAAATATGAGGCATGGTTCTAAGCTGAGAGGGTGGGGAAAGGGGAAGTTTGGAGAAAAGCTTTGAAAGTCCAAGTTTTACAGAATAAATCCTTTTATTAAGGGGTTTTATTCTGGGAAGTTTTGATTCAGTCAAAGGACTGCACTTGAGGACCTAGAGAGCCACATGTGGCCTTGAGACCGCAGGTTCATCACCCCTGGTGTAGCTAGTGGGGATGTGATGGCTGAGGGATTTAGGGATTGGAGGTTATGGAAAGGACAAAGAACAGTTAGGGGTTGTAAGGTAGAGAGAAAGATGGAATGAGAAAAGATTGTGATCAGGTAAGACAATTTTAGAGTTCACAGACATAAAAGTGGTGGATCTAGGCAGTGATGGTAAGATCCAGGGTATGACTACCTCTGTGTGGAGCTGAGATAGAATGGAGGAGTAGGTTCCTGAAAATACATAAATTGAAGAAATGAGAAGTTAGGGTTTTGAGAAAGTATCAGTATATATGGTGAAGTTTCTTAGTATGAGGGTGAGATTTAGGGAGGAGAAAAAGAAAATGAACCCTGCAGGTACTGGACTCATTAAGTAAAGCAGACTGGTAGATAACAGCTACCAGCATCTTGATTGGGTGATAAACACTAATTGGATGGACCTCAGTGGAAGAGAGGTTACTAAATGATACTGGTACAGGTACAAAGAGAGTCTGGAGGTAGCCACTGGAAGCAAGGAGTATTTCAAATTTCCCTCTACACCCAGTGAGTTGGCAGGTATGAGTAAAAGTATAAATGGTGCTGGAAAGGGTGGCTGGGGAAGTTTCGTCATCAGGTCTCAGCAAGAGCAAGATATAAGGAATGAGTAAGGGAAAGATTTAAGATGGAAACAAGTTTGTTAGTTAAGAAGCAGGCACTCCAGAGAGCACAGTGGAAGGGGAGGGTAGATCTCAAATGGAACATTGTGCAGTTGGGTTGAGAGGAATGGGAACAAAGTAAGGCAGGCAGTGAGAGATGGGAAATAGGGTTTGTACAATGACTTTGTGGGCTCAGAATCATTGGTAGGAGAAGAGTATGATGAGATGAAAATACACTAATCATTGAGAAGTGAGTTCAGGTGGATTATCATCCCTAGGGGCCAGTGCTGTGGAGCTGGGACAGGACAAAGGATGAGGCCATGGTAGAGAGTGAGAATCGTGCCTTGGTCTTATCATAATATGGAGATTCCAGGCAGGAATTCACCATTCAGTCTCAGTGCAGTGATCCTAGGGCATCAGTGTGTAAGTACTTATAAACACTTCTTACAAGATTAAATTGATTGATCAAAAAGAGCTGATACCAGCAAGAGAGGATCTCACCGCAGAACAGAATAGAGAAACAGCAGGGGCTTCTAGGAATAAAATTAGAAAAGCAAAATATTGATGTTTTGCTGATTATTTGTTTTCTTTTAAAATATTCTTTTTTATATGGAATAGCTCTCTGGACAGGAGGGAGCTGGAGGAACACAGGGGGAAATTTAAGTGATATAAAAACAAAAGATGACCAAAAATTTATTTTAAAAAAATTAAAAGATAAAGCCAGGAGTAAGATTCAATGGGAAAGTCCCTGATGGATATGGATAAACATTCCCACACTTCTTTTTCCTATTGATCATCTTCGTTTCAGAGACATCTGGGAAGAGTAAGGAAGGAAACAAGCTACCATTTCTCAAGAATGTCTCGTTAAATTGGGTCTCATAATGTTTCCTTTTCTTACATTTCCCCCTCTAGGAACATCAAAGACTCATGAAGGACAAGGACCTCCATCCAGCCCAATGAGACTGGTTCTGGGTCCAAAGATAACTGGACCCAGGGACTCTGTCTCCTCCCACTACCACCCCCTGAGCCCTAATACTGATCCCATCAAGAATGTCAGGGTGGGATGTGACCCACAATGTTTCCTACACTGACTTCTTCTTGGTAGGCTTCCCAGGGCTGCAGGAAGCCCGGTCCCTCCTGATCCTTCCATTTTCCTGCATATATCTGGTGATCCTCTCGGCCAATGCCCTGGTCATCTACACTGTGGTGGCCCAGAAAAGCCTGCACCAGCCCATGTATGCGCTCATTGCCCTGCTCCTGACGGTCAATCTCTGTGCCGCTACTGCAGTCGTGCCGGCCATGCTCTTTAGCTTCTCTACCCGCTACTACCGCATTTCTCTTTCTTGTTGCCTCATCCAGATGTTCTCTATCTACTTCCTCATCGTATTTGACTGCAACATCCTCCTGGTTATGGCCCTAGACCGCTACATTGCCATCTGCTATCCACTGCGTTATCCAGAAATTGTGACAGGGCAGATGTTGACAGGTTTGGTGGGCTTAGCAGCAACGAGGAGCACATGCATCGTTGCCCCTGTGGTAGTACTGGCCTCAAGAGTACACTTCTGTCGTTCCAACATCATCCGTCACTTCACCTGTGAGCACATGGCTCTGATGAAGCTGTCCTGTGGAGACATCTCACTCAACAAGACAGTGGGGCTTGCAGTCCGGGTCTTCAACCGGATCCTGGACATGTTGCTCTTGGGCACCTCCTACACACGCATCATCCATGCTGCCTTCCGGATCTCCTCTAGTGGGGCCCGCTCCAAAGCCCTAAACACATGTGGCTCCCATCTGCTGGTCATCTTCACCGTCTATACCTCTACACTCTCCTCTTCCATTGTCTATCGGGTAGCTCGCGCTTCCTCCCAGGATGTGCACAACCTGCTCAGTGCCTTCTATTTACTGCTCCCCTGCCTTGTCAACCCTGTTATCTATGGAGCCAGAACCAAGGAGATCCGGCAACACCTAGTCAAGATATTCCAGAGAGCAGGGCCTCGGGCCACTTCTGAAAAAAATCCATCCCTACCTCCAGAAAGAGAGCTTCCTTCATAATACCCCAGGGGCTAGGAAAAAACAGGTTCACCCCTAGGAACACAGGGATCCAACAATCATCCATATCACATATTCTTGTATTATTTCCAGCCTTCTTCTGATAGTTTCTCTCTAAGATAGGAAGAGGGTAAATATTAGAGCCTCACAATACTACTCCATCACTTACTTCAATAATCTTAGCTTTTTGAGTTCCAAATGATGAATCTTCTAATAATTGAAGACTGTTATTCTATTCAATCAAATGAGATATTTGCAAAATACTTAGCACAGTGCCTGGGATACAGTAAGTGCTAAATAAATGCTTGTTCCTTTCCCTCCCCACATTCAATTCAATTAAACATTTGTTAAGTTCCTGCTGCATGTTAAGTTCCCATGTCTAGCAATGAAAGGGAAAGATGAAGAATTAGATAGTCCCTGCCATCTAGAAATTAAAAGTATAAAAAGGGGAATGCAACATGTAAACAAAAAGGTACAAGGCAAAGTAATAACAGCAGTAACTTTACATAGCACTTTAAGGTTTGCAAAGTGCTTTACAAAACATCTCATTTGGTCCTCGCATACCCTGAGATAGAAGTGCTATTATCATCCCCACTTTGTTGTCATTGTCCGGTCACATCTGACTCTTCATGATCCCATTTGGGGTTTTCCTTGGCAAAGATACTGGACTGGTTTGCCATTTCCTTCTCCAGTTCATTTTATGGATGAGGAAACTGAGGCAAACAGGGTTAAATGACTTGCCCAGGGTCACACAATTAGTAAGTGTCTGAGGCCAGATTTGAACTCAGGAAGAGTCTTCCTGACTCCAGGCCCAACACTCTATCCACTGCACCACCTAATAGCCCTGTGAGATGCTTATATCCATTTAACTAAAGACAAGGGATACATCATTATAGAACAAATACTCTTTTTTTGGGGGGGGGTTGCATTTAAAGCTCTTCACAACCTAGTCCCTTCTTATCTTCCCAGTCTTCTTATTTCCTTCTATGTATCCTATGATCTACCTATACTTGCCTATTTATTGTTCATCACACATGAGGTTCTATCTTCCCACCCCAGGCCTTTGCACTGGCACTGCTCCAAACCTGTAATGCTCCCCTTCCTCACCTCTGCTTCTTGGAATCCCTGGCTTCCTTCAAGGTGTTACTTAAACATCATCTTTTACAAGAGGCATTTCCTGGTCCACCATCTGCTGGTGCCTTCCCCTTTAAGGTTCCCCTTTATCTATTTTGTATGTACCTCATGCATGTTATCTCCCCTCCTCAAGCTCCTTGAGGGGAGGACTGTTTTTGCCTTTCTTTGTAGCCTCAGAGCTCAGTAATATTGACTGGCCCACAGTAAGCACTTAATAAATGCTTGTTGACTGCCTAATTCCCTAGGCCATATCAAAGTCAGAGAACTCAGGACTTTCCAACAATTAGAGCTGTCCAAAAATGGAATGGGCTACCTTTGGAGGTATCTAGTTTTCATTTGGTAACTAGGTGGTGCAGTGGATAGAGTGCCAGGTCTGGAGTCAGATAGACTCATCTTCCTGAGTTCAAATCTAGCCTCAGATACTTACTAGCTGGGTAAGTCACTTAACGCTGTTTGCCTTAATTCCTCATCTATAAAATGAGCTGTAGAAGGAAATGGCCAACTACTCCAATGTCTTTGCCAAGAAAATCCCAAATGGGGTCATGAAGAGTCAGAAATGACTGAACAAAGTTTTCCCTCACTGCGGTATCTCTTCATTCAGGGACTATGAATGATCACTTGCTGAGGATGATACATAGAAAAGCCTCTGTTTAGTACAGGTACAACATGACTCATGAAAGCCTTTCTAGTTTTGAGATTCTGTGGAATTCTGGTAGCATATGAGTAAGAGCACAGGATTCAGAGTCAGGAAGACCTGAATTCAGATGCCATCTCAGACATTAACTAGCTGTGTTGCCCTAGGCAAGTCATTTAATATATTTCAGCCTTAGTTTCTTCATCTGTAAACTGGAGATAAAAATAGCATCTACCTCCTGAAGTTATTGTGAGGATCAAATGAGATAACATATGTACAGAGCTTTACAAATCTTAAAGTGTCATATAAATGCTAGTTATTAGCATCCAGGACATAAAAACCAGAAAGTACTATAATAACAACAGCAATTAAAATTTATATCACACCTTAAAATCTACAATATGCTTCACATGTTCTCTCATTTGAGATGACATTCTGCTGATGTTCCTTTGAAGCTCCTCCACCTTAAATTTCCAGGGGAAACTGTTGCAACGTAGAAACTATGAGAGTTCCTCTCATAGGAGCAGGTAAGTGGTGCAATGAATAGAGCACTAGACCTGGAGTCAGGAAGACCTGAGTTCAAATCTGGACTCAGACACTTATTAGCAGTGTGACTCCAGGCAAGTCACTTAACCTATGTCTGCCTCAGTTTCTTCAAATGTAAAATGGAGACAATAATATCACCTACATCTCAGGTTGTGAAGATCTTAAATGAGACAATATCTGTAAAGTGCTTAACATGAAGCCTGCCACATGATAGGTGTTTCATAAATGCTTATTCCTTTCCCTTTCACCTCATCTCCCCTTACCCAGAGAAATCCTCGTCTACCACAGTGGTATAAAAGTTCCCTTTTTGTCAGGATAATATTAAATAACATTTATATAACACCTTAAGGTTTATAACGTGCTCTACATACTTTGTTTTCTTATTTCATACCATGATCTGTGAAAGACCTTAATTTAGAAAGGCCAAGGTCATTCATTACACCCCAGGCAATCGCCAGCTGTCTTGATCTATGTCTTGCCACTGGACTCCCAAAGACTGTGGAGGAGAGAGTGAAGCTGATGACTTTGCACTGCCCTACCTCACTTAAATGCAATTCATGTGCTAGTCAGAATATCACCCTCCTGATGGCATTGATCCTCTTCAAGATCGAAGGATGAATGACAGCAATAGAGAAGGGCTCAGAAAGTGTTGTCAAGGAGGCAATCGTCATTAATCTCTACAACTGTATAATTCTCTAAGTCTGACATACGGGTCCCTCAGCATTTGTTTTCTCTCTCTCCACTCCTCAGCTTCTTCACAGCCCACGTCTGCACTTTCTTAGACTACCAAGAAGTCTTTCTCTTCTTAAGTAAATTCATTTTGACACAACTATGTAAAAGACTGCTCCAAATAACTGATAATGAGAAATGTAAATCAAAACAACTCTGAAGTCTCACCTCACATCCAGCAAATTAGCAAAGACGGCCAAAGATGGGATTAGTCAGGGTTGGAGTGGTATTAGAAAGACAGGTGCTATTAGTGGAGCAGCAAATTGGTCCAAACATTCTGGAAAGTAATTTGGAATTATGCTAAGAAGTCATTAAAATGTCCATATCCTATGACCCAAAGATTCTATTGCTAGGCACATACTCCAAGGAGGTAAATGACAAAAAAGAAAAGCTTCAAATACACCAGAAAGTTTATAGAAGCACTTTTCTAGTAGCAAAGAATTAGAAACAAAGTAAATGCACGTATTTTTGAACATAGCCAGTATGGAAACTTGTTTTGCTTGTCTTTGCAAATTTTTACTAGGGTTTTCAGTGGGGGGAAGGGATGAAATGAGGAAAAATAAACCCTTGAAGAAAAATTTAAAGGTAACAGAAAAAAAACACACACTATTCTTCTTGACTCACTCCAAGCTGAATCTGAGAATCTAAGAACTGGAGGAGACCTCAGAAGCCACCTAGTGCAGCCTCTATCTAACAGGCATGTACTACCTCTGGGAATAGCCAATTCAAACCTGGGGCAGTAGTTCTAGCTGTTAGTCAGTGTAGCATGGTATAGTGGATAAATTGGTGGACTTGCAGTAAGGAAGACCAGAGTTTGAAACCTGCTTCTGATATGAGAGAGATTTCCCACCATTATAGCTTTACTATCTGTTATTTGTTTTTGTTGTTTAGTTATTAGTCACGTCCGACTCTTTGTAACCCCATTTGGGGTTTTCTTGGCAAAGATACTAAAATGGTTTGCAATTTCTTTCTCCAGCCCATTTTAAATATGAGGAAACTGAGGCAAATGGGGTTAAGTGACTTGCCCAGGGTCACATAGCTAGCAAGTGTCTGAGGCTGTATTTGAACTCAGGTCCTCCTGACTCCAGGGCTGACACTCTATACACTGTGCCACCTAGCTGCCCTATCTATTACTTCCTCCAATTCGAATAAATTTTCCTTTAAGTATTTAGATGCTATACTGTTTGGCATACACATATATACATGTGTGTATATATACACACATAGAGTATTTATATTGATTCTTTAATTCTTTATCTGTGGTGGCTTTAAGCATAGCACAAGCTCCTTACTTATCTTTTTTTATAATATCTATATTTATCATAGCCTTGTCTGAAACCATGATTGCTACCCCTGTTTTTTTTTTCAGTTTAGTCAAAGCATAACAGATTTTACTGCAGCCCCTCATTTTAACTCCTTATGAATATACATCTATATATTTCAAATATGTTTCTTGCAAATCACATCTGGTTAGATTCTGTTTTCTAATCCATTCTTCCATCCTCTTCCATGTTGTGGGTCTTCTGTCTGTCATATTTACTCTTTTCTATTACCTTTAAAGGTATTAGGGTTTTGAGAAGACTTTTTTTTTCTTTTCCCAACATAGTCCCTTCCAAATGATCAAATATGTGCACCTTTCTAAGCTTCTCTTGACTCCTCTGTTTCCATTTCAAAACGTCTGCCCATTATTGTTTTTTTCATCAGGAATTCTTGGAATTCCTCTATTTCGCTAAAGATCCTTTTTTCCCTGTGGGATTATACTTAGTTTTGCCAGATAAGTTATTGTTGTAAGCCTTTATCTTTTGCTTTTTGGAATATTGGATTGCAAGCTCTTTTCTTCATTGTGGTGGCTGTCAAGTCTCACTGGTTCCATGGTACTTGAACTCTTTCTTTTAGGCTACTTGTAGTATTTTTTCTTTGGCCTGGAAGCTCTGGATTTTGGCCATGACATTCCTGGAAG